GAAAGAGAAAGCAATCGTTTTTGAAATAGGGTGTTGTTTCTGAGATTTCGCTCTAAAGTTTTACAACGAAGCAAGGATTTGTGACAACAATATCAAAATAGCAATCTAGAACGCCCTTTTGTTGTGACATGGCGGTAGTTTTTGACAAGGACAGACAACGGGTTTAGTAAAAGGTACTAGAAGGGATTTTTGATGCGAAAGGCGAACAGTTTTTGCAGCTAATGTAATCGATCGAAAAGAAACTAGCAAAAGAAGTTTTTGCAGCAAATTTAATCGATACACCACAATAAGTGTAAACTTCCATCGATGAATCAGAAAGATGGCCATCCAAAAGTGATTTGTGTTTTCCAAAAAACCGATGCAGACCTGTCAGCTCTCCATGTCTTTGCCTGCATTTCCGCTATCTCTTAGTTTTAAAATTTTTTCTCTTTTCTCCATTTTCCTTTAGGAAAGGGAATACTTATGATAGAAATGACTGCAATGATTTTCTTCACGACAAAGTTTTTTGTTTGTGCTTACAAATTAACAAAAGCATTATGAAGAAGTTTCTGATTGAATTTTTGTCATTAAATTCACCAAGCACAACGTTTTACGGGTCACTCATAAAATCAAAAAATTCAGGTGATCTTCATATTTTTTTGCAAAGTATCCCAAAGTTTTATAAAGAAAAAAATCTAAATTGAAAATTATCCCCGTTGGTCTGAGTTTCAGGCCCGTCACTATAAGGGGGTAGAGGGAAGATGGCGTGCGGGGTGTGGAACCCCCTTGAAAAAAGTTCCATTGCAAAAACGACGAGTTTTTTGAGGTGCTTGCTCGGCAAATTTCCAAACTTGTCGGTAATTAGGACTGGAAACCCTTATGAGCGCAATGGTGACCGGCCTGTTGAGTGTGGCAGGTACCTAAAAGGCAGGGCAGGAAAATGCCTTGATAAAACCGCACAAGTCAGTTGCAAGGCTTTACCTCCTATCCTATTTCTAAATGCATTTGAATTAAAGAAAGTCTTATTCAATAGATCCTATAATCCTTAAAGAAACCAGCTCATCTTAATATCTGCGAAACAAAACAAAACAGACTCTTCGCAGGGTGGTAGTGAAAGTGGATTCTGCCCTGAGATTCCGATACCTTAAGACTTTAATACCCTGCACACAAAGCACTGTATACTCCGAAGGACTTTGAAGTAAAAGGAAGAAGCACGACAAATATTTTGTTAAAAATAGAGGTATCTTTCCCACAGAAAAGAATTTTAGGTATTTTGTGTATTTAAGGGGGAAGATCGAATACAAGGCCATTCTCATAGCACAAGGTTTCAAAACTCTCCTAATGGACGCAGTATAAAGTAAAGCGCATGCACCATGTTTATTACGATATACTAAAGTTTATAGAGCAAAGCGGATACGATTGTTTCAAAAATGGTTCTTTTGAATCGCTTGCCTTTCTGGACGGCTTAAAGTTTGCACCCGGACTAGGACGACGGTCAGTTTAGAAAACAGGCGTGCTTTGCTTGTAATCCCCGACCTCTAAGTCGTTTCTTGGCCAAGAAGCTGCATTTAAAGTATTTTGCTAACCAAAGCTGCGATTGGAGAAATCGTTCATTGTCGTAAATGATAATACTTTCAAATTGTAAGAACACAGGAAATCTTTATAACATGCGAGGGTACTTGTTTGGAAGAGCCGTTTTCAAGGACACTAAAGGGTTTTGACGAACTAGGGGTTATGACAGTAAGGATACAGCCCAAAGAAATCACTTACTCATACTAAAAAGGCTATTTGCAATTTTTGGGGGGTACAGTGGCCCTTGTGACCCTCGTGGTCCTCGTGGCCCTCGTGCCCCTCGTGCCCCTCGTGTCCCGTTCCTTGAAAAAGCTTAAGAATAGTTTGGATGTTACATTCTCAAAGCTCTGAAGTCCCGCTGATCATTATGTTCAAACAGGAATCGATTCCCTTTGAGACAAGAAACTAGCAACCGTTTTCTCTTGTGAATAAAACAACGGGGAAGAAAGCCTCAAGAGAATACTTTGGTTTGATTTAATATACAAGATCCTTGTCTTTGAAACTTGCAAGAAATATTTAAGATGTATGCTTTCCTTTCAATTGAACGAGCAAGGTGAATATGACTTAGATAAAAGTTTCGTTTAACAACGGCCAATCGAGTTGATAATAAGCAAAATTTGTTGGCCAACCAGATTCTAAGCATAGGCCTATTATTCGTTTGGTTGTTGACTAGTTATGTCCAACCAGATATTTAACCAACGGTGTAAGTGGCATCATGGGACTCAAAAACCGGTGTAACAAGTGATATGTAACGTGACATCAGATATGAGACAAATTTGTACGCGAAAAAATTGTTTACATCTGTCCTTAAATTTATTTTTTCAAGGAGTTTAATTGGACTTATTCTGTGGTTTGAGAGATGACAGGTAAACTAATAAAAATGGGGTGGATATCTTGTGATATATGATGTCTTTTCCTGACATATGTTTTCAGGAAGAATTTCTTTCAAATCGGATTTTTGTGACACAAAATTCCTAAAAATAATTGGCGATTTGAGCAAAGTTGCTCTTTCTCGCATGGGTTTTACAAAGTTATATCTTATATCGAAACTATTTCCATTCTGTCTATAATTAGCTATCTACAACATAATTTAGGATTTGACAGAAACTGATGCCTGGCATAGATTAAACTCCTTAGTTAGAACGTAAACATACGGGAGTTCTGAAAAGAAAGTTTTAAAAAATATTCAAATGTGTCCTTACTTGACCTTTGATCTTCAAGCCCGTCGCAAGCTATTGTGCTCAAAATGGGTTCCGAAGTCCCATTTGCCGTCAAAATGTGTCAGCCATCCTTTATTTGCCGAAAAGTTTGGAAATTTGCCGACTAAGCACCTCTAGATGGCAAACAACTCCTCTATTTTCGCAATAAAATTTTTAAACCCTACACGCCCCCTCCCTCAATTATAGCTACTGGCCTGAATAAAATATATCTATTTCAAAAACTGAAGACACAAAATAACTATGTCGAAGAATCTCCTTTATCTAAAAGTGAGAATAATATCCTCTTAAATAGTTGGTTTAGTGTAGACAAAATAATGAAAAAGAATTAGAAGTCTGGGGAGAGCGGAGCATACACAGTGTGAGGGCTTCTTTGAGCTACATCTCCCGTTTAAGGTTTGCAACCACACATTTTTCTGTGCTGAAAATGCCCATAAAAGAAGCATCCTTATTGTAGATTTTTTCTGAAACTAGCCTTTGGATCATCGTGAGAGAGGGCGTCCATCTCCATTGGTATTCATTTAACCCTGAATTTTGGCGCAGCCAGATTTTTCAGCGTTATAAACAGCTAACTTTCTAGCAATTTATTTACAAAGTTTTCTATCAAAGCACTTGATCTTTTTGTAGATTGTTAATTTACATAGACAAACCAGAAGAAATTCATTAATTAAAGGAAGGGTAATAAAATGTAACAATGGAAGTAAACAATTATTTTCTTAGGACCAGGAAAAATCCCCCTCTTTTATAATTTCATAGGTATTCAAAATATGTGTCTGGATAGAAATTTATGAACAGAACCCCGTAAGAATAATCTTGTAGAAGTTTATCTTTTATATTTAATTCTTTCTTGTCCTCTGGTTTTTTATTTTTGCCTAAAATTTTTGCTTCGAAACCAGCATTATTGTTACGTTGATGCCTGAGCTTGACTGTTTTAGAATTACAAAATTTCTCTACGGTATTTTGTCCTTATGCTTTATGCTTGAGAAGGAAATTGACCAAAATGAGTTGAAATAAGATTGAGAAAAACAATTTTGGCTTAGTGTTAGGCAGTTTTAAGCAATAGAAGGCGAAGGGTGAAAATTTTTCATCTTTTTTAAATGGATAAAGGACTCTAAGAACTTACTTCGATGCAGGGGCGTTAAATACTTTCTAAGAAGAAACAATTTGCAATTTTTTCTTCTTGCAAGCACAATACTCGAACCAGAGATGACATAAACTAAATATTGGCTGATTAAACACTGCAAACACGTTGAAAGCAATATTTGTAGAGAGTTTGGGAGCTTAACGTTTTATCAAATAAAAATTAAGTATATTGAAACACAGATAAAGGAATACAGTTAAACCAAGCACAAACAGTAAGAAAAAAGTCATGTTTGCATCTAACTATGCGGCCTATTTTGAATGGGGTTTAGTTGATCTCTCGTTATCATTGCTTTTTGCAAACAGAACTCGCTCTAGAATTTCGCTGGCTAAAAATATCGTTGCTTTTTAAATAATGCAAAGAAAACCTCAAAAAGAAAAAGATTTCTCTTGCTGGGTTCTCACAAGTTATGATACCACTCAGATTTAAAAAGAACACATAAGGAAAGAAAAATTTATAGAAAATTTTAAAATAAAGAAAGGAAAGTTAGACTAGAAAGAGCAGTATATTGCGCTAGTTGTTTGTGAAATGATTGACAAAACAGCGATCTAGTTTTTAAGAGTTAATATAAATATTTTAGAGTTAATGTAAGGGTAGCTACTTTTATTAACATAATTATAGTTTCTGACAAGAGTTTATTTACATGCGTGAACCGTATTTGAATTTTTGCAGCGATAATGAAAATTGGAACTCTTTTTCTAATACATTTGAAATTTAGACTGCGAAATTTAGACAGATTTAATTTTCATCTTTTCTCAAACTGCGAGGAGTGCAAAAACTTTTCCGTTCTTCGAATAAATTTCTACTCTTTCAGAAATATCTGATAAAGAAACAAAACTTTAAAGCTACCAAAAATTAGATATCTATTATTCTTCATATAACTTTTACTAACTTTAAAAACCATAATTGACTTCTTGATAGTCTACAGGAAACACAGTATTAAAGTTTAGTTTGCCTTTTAAAATCAAGAAAATAGACCTTTCAGAAGAGCCTTTCAAACATTAGATTTGGCGCAAATTCGTTAGAGCAACATTGAATGTGAAACCCACGTGGTCAGTAATTTAGAAGGCAAATCAAGAGTTTTCACTCACCTCTTATAGCGCTGACTCAATCTTGAAAGCTGTCCTTTCGACTTGGCTCCAACCGACCAAAGAGATGATCTTCCGATCTTTCCTCCTTTAATTCCAAGGCTGCAAAGCAAAATTTGTGGGATAACCGAGGCGAACTGGTAAGCTGATTGTGACGTATTTAGTCTTACAAGCCTATTGCAGTGACTTCTCTTTTGGCTGATAACAGGCGCCAATCGTTGCTATTGACAAAAGCGGGTGCATATTCTCAAAAGAAGCTTTACTTAAATATCATCCTTTCTGTTAGGCTAAAACCAGTTTTGCTTCTGATGTAAACCATAATCTTCAAACTGACGCATAAAATGTTTTCGATTTCAAAATTGTTGTAGAACAACGATACCAGGATAAAATCTTTCAGGATATAATTGGCAACAATGATAGATATTCTGTGCCACAAAGCGGTGCTGAAGTGCAATGACAGAAAATGTGTGCACCATAAACGAATATGATGTCGGAAATCGGGCCATTTCTTCGATGAATAACTATGTCACTGTATATAGAATAAGGCTTGAAAAGAGATTTCTGAAAGCTGGGTTATTTGACTTGAGATTCCCGTTTGAAAAGATATGTTTTTCATAGATGTAGACGAAGTCAAATAGATCTGGAATTTTTTTGTTAATCTATGCACACATTTAAACTAAACAGGTTTCAAGTGAAAAACTTTCTATGATTCTCTAAATAATGTTCTTTGCCCTGCCGATCATTTTTGGTGTGTTGGTAAATCTTATGATTGAATGAGGAAACAATTAACTTTGGACGAAGGTTCCGAGTAAATGGTCTTATTTGTCAGTGGATCCGAAGGTCAGCTCAAAAGGGCCAAGTCGCTGTCGCTCAATTGGGAACAGTCGCTTCAAATCTCCTGAGTATGTGATTATCATTGCTAGTGTATATGAAAAAACGCTCTTGGGAATTCAAAAAATTTCGTTCAGTTCTAGAACCAACCTACTGAAATTTGCATTAGACTGTATCACATTTAAAATGCGTTTAAACGAAATACATCGAAAGATTTTTATATAAAATTCATGTACATTTATTGTCAATTCAAAATTTTGTCTAGATTCTATCAGATTTTTGTTAGCCTTGAATAAAAAATTCCCAAACTACGTGACTAAATTTCTCTCTAAATTTTTCCCATAAGTTCTTTTTCTTGACAAACGTAAACATTTTATTGTAACAATCCCTTGAGAGTATTTCCAATTTCCCATGGGACTCTTTCGTGAGAGCCCAGTTCCCATGAGACTTTAATGGGCGTGTTTTGAACGATGAATCTCTTCAGTGAAAGTTTAAGAAATATCAGCTATTCTTTTGTTTGTCACGTTAGTTGATTGTAAGGAGAATTGGATAAGGAAATTGTCTTTATTTAGCAACCTAATTGGTTTGTAGAGATGAGATGAATATTCCATGTTGCGATGTAAATACCCTAAATATATTTGACTGTTATAGGTCACCTTAACAGAAAGTTAGGTGTTTCGCAAAACAACACATGCCTCTAAAATATGATACTTAAACTTTCTTTAAATAATTGCTTTGAAAAATAATACCCAATTAACAATAATTACTTACAGGACGAATGAAAGGTTTCAAAAACTTTTCAGATTCATCTAATGCCCCCTTTATAAAGCCATGAAATCCCCCCCCCCCTCCTAATCCTCATTAGTGCATTGGTTCAGCTAAAAGTCGACAAAACGGAAACTTATCTTGAAGTAAAGGCTTTTTAAAATGATTAACTTGGGGATGTAGTGGTGTGTGGAAAGCTGAGAAGGGTGTGGCCTTACTTGAAAACTTTTTTTGTAAAAAGTGGCGATACAGACAAAGATCGTAGAATACATAGAAAGCTATGACAAAATTGCTGCTTTGACAAAGTTTTCTGTTCATAACCGAACCAGAAAAAGAAGCAATTGTCAGAATTTGATGCATACAAGTTTTATACTAACGAAAAGGTACCAACGGTTTCACATAAACACAGGAAAATGTGACTCACAAAATGTCAAGATTTCTTACTGGGTATGTTTAGCTGTTTTTATGCTATTCCAGGGTTTTTTAAATGGTCCTATTTAGAAATAGATTTTAAGCTATGTTCTTGTGACTTAGGCTGCAACCATAGCTGATGCACTATGACAAATGACTTGTTAAGTTTTAATTAGTCATAAAAGATATTACATCCAGTTACGAAAAAGTGATGAGGAGTATGGAAAGATTGCGTTTATAACATTGTGTTTGCCGCAAAAAGTTGAGATTATGATCTTGGCTTGTCAGTAATTGTGAACTTATTATAATCAGGGACATACAATGGTGATGGCTGACACTAAACCCTTGAAAAATCTAAACTTTTTTCCACTTTAACCTCCAACAACGTCTCGTCGGCTCTGCACATGGCACAGATATTCTCATTTTGGCTGCTGCTCGACCAATCGTCGGAAGAAACATCATCGCCCGAATGTTATGATTGGAAGATTACATCACATGACAAGAACAACTTAGATATTTAAGTGAGCTCATGACTTGCTTTGTGAGAACAAAATATTTCCAGGTGGATTTTCCCTGTGCAATAAGTTTTCGTGTTTGGAGGGTTGAGCCATTTGCGAACCGGCCAATCAACATATAGGACCCTGATTTTCGTTGTTATGCAGTTTAGTAGGCACTTCAACGATACTAAAGTGTTCAGCTAGGTTTCACTTTAGAAATTCATGCATTAAAATGAAGATTTCTCGATTATAGCCGGTCAATAAAAAATCCTTGCTACACCCCTCCATTCCCTTACTCAAAAGACCCTCCGCACACCAATGATGACTTTGTCACTTACTCCTGCGACTATGGCTATACTACAGCGATAGGGCAAGTAGAAGATATACATTTATTTTCCCACAGTGCCATGATTTTGTCTTACATCTTTATCTATGTTAGAATTACATTTCGAGTGGAATTGATGTGGATCTCCTGTACTTTAAACTTTAACAGAAAAAATATGTACTATGTTGTCTGATGTGATTTCAAGTCATCATTTAGCGCAGAATAAATGTATGATTGCAGATCATATTTCATTCTATATATATGGGCAGTGAGACTAAATAACAATAAAACTACATCAATCTAATTTTCGCTTGGTTCAAGACAAGTGGCTTTTCAAATTTCATGAACGTATAAAATATTATATGAATAAGATATTTCAACGTCTAGGCTCTACCCAGTAGGATGATACTTTTAATAATATTGTTCCATTTTGTATACGAATTTGAACCCTGTTTTCCTAGACCAACAAGGCTCTCACGAATAAAAAAATTAGATTACGAATATCAAGGCTTTTTATTGGATATATTTTAAACAAGATTTATCATTTTTATAACATTGATAATGCTATTAGCTGTGAACTCAAGACCGTTTAGACAAAGGCGAAGTTAATCAGCTTTTAAATATATTTGATATGTTTATTAGTTGCCTGATGACCTCATTAAGTGTGAAGCTTAGAGTAGCGACTTTTCTGTTTTTCTGATCTATACACCAAATAGCGTTATTTATTGAGTTGTTATGCCTTGACACACATTATTGGCAAAGTATTGACAACTTTTATAGAGTATTGCAAATTATTGGCAACTCTCATTAAGTGGGACACTCAAGGAACCGAGCAAAAGTTCACTACTTAGCGATCGTCCTACTTATCCGAATGCTTGAAAAGGGTAAGCAAGTTAAAGAGACCGGGAAAATCTGTACTAAATAGCAGGCGTCCTATTTATCCGGGGTCCCACTTAACGAGAATCTACTGTAAAAGAAATAGTGTGTTAGCAAGTAATTTTTTGACTGGAAAAATTTGGCAGAAAATGGCGTGTTAGCTGCAAAAATTCATAAGAAAGCAATTATTATAATAATTTATGAAAGTTTCGATCTAGAGTCAGTGCTGGATTTAAGGGGGGAAGCTAGGGGCAGTTGCCCCTCCCTCACCTAGTTAAAGAAAGTCTGCCGCCCCTTTTAAAGAAATTTTGCGCTTTTTTGAAGAATGAGAATCAGGTGCGAAAGTTTCTGAGACTTATAGGCTAATTTACTTCAAGGATTATCTCAAAGTATGCAATAATTATTGTGGAAATTTCCTTACAAAGTGAATAGAAAGCCTTCTGATTCTGTCAGTAGTAAGGGTCTGAAATTGTTATATACAGTTTACACTCGTCACCAATTTCAAAAAATGTTCCAGCGCCTCCACTACCAACTGCCCCTACAAGAGCAGCCGTACAAATTGCTTGAAGACGTCTGTGGCCTGAAGAAACCGTTTTCACTAGAACGGTTCAAATCGAGTGTAGGCAGCTAACAATGTCGACTTAGAAGAACGAATAACTTGCATCTTAATGACGGCCATTAGTTAAGTTCGCATTATCTGCATTAAGTTAATGTAATTCTTTAAGATTTGTAATATCACAAAGCTGAGATATCGAAAACCTTTTTAGACCCTTTTGAAAAAAGTAATAAACTACTCATGAGTTCTAATGTCAAAATTCCGTCCAGCTTAGTCGAAAATTTTGAATCAATAATAACTCCTAATCTTCTCGTTTTAAGAGCTTTCTCTGTTTCAAAAATTAATTCCCTCTGTAAGTCTGGTTTACTGAGGATTTTTAGAGTGGCCGGAGAGATTTGTTTGTCCTAAAAGTGCAAGAAGCAATAGACTTTTATTCTTTTCTTGCTTCTTAGAAAAATTAGAGCGGATTAATTAAAGAGGCTGGAATTTTCCAACAATCAAATTTATTGTAAACTACTAAAACGCTTGCTGTTTAATGTTAAAAAACTTTGGTGTGAGTGCTCACTGTTCAAGTCTTGTAAGTGTAGCTGCAATGTATAGAAATTTAAAGGAAAATTAAATATAGAAAATGAAAAGCACAATTCACATAAAAGTTGGGTACTGTATAAGTCTCCTGCTTTAACACGGGTCTCCTGTTTTCTTAGAAGCCAATTTTCTCTTCACCTGCTATCTAAACTTCTCATTATTATGTTTATCTAGTTTAGCAATTAATCAGTGACTTTTAGTTAAAGACAATGCTATTTTCTCAGCTACTTTCATTAGGAACTAGTTCAATGAACGA